ATAAACTTTCCAAAATTATCGGACGACTTTTTTTTTTTAATAATCATTTTAAAATCAAATTTATACGAAATCGAAAAAGTCATGTATTACAGAACTGTGTTCGGAATCGTCTTTTGTCAAGTAATGGTTTAACATTGCTTACAGATATAAATGAAATAACCTTATGTATCCTAACTTCCCAACGTCTCACCTAAAATAGTGGCCACTCCCACCCCCAGTATCTCTTTTTAAAATTAGCTCTTTTAGCTCTTTTTAAAATTAAAACTCAAAAATCACTACGGCCAACAAATACCTACGAATGAAATCAAATAGTTTTTTTTTTTTTTTAATCTGTGCGTAACTTTTCTTCAGGAATCTTGATCCGATTTTTAACTGTAGTACTTATTCTGAAACGAAATCTGACTGGGAAGATACTTTAAACAGGTTATTTTTAGATTTTCTCAAGAGTTCTCTTATAAAATGTGAAAACCGAAAAAAAAACAGTAAAAACGAAAAAATGTACGAAATATATTTTTTCTGTGAATAACTTTTCTACCAGCAATTTTGCTCCAAAATATAATGATAGCAATTTTTCTAAACTAAAATTTAATTGAGGAAGTACTTTAGAGAAGTCGTTTTTCAATCTTCTCAATAGTTATCTCATCAAATGCGAAAAACCGGGATTAAATATGATAAAACCAGGAAAAACGTAAAAAGACTGAGAAACTCGGTACAACATTAAATAAAATACATAAAACCTATTTAATTATTTTACTATTAAATGACATATATATATTGTTGACAAAGCATCACTATCAACTGATCTTCGTTTAGAATCAATGGTTCATCATTGCTTATGAGTATACATTAAATTTCATACAACTATGGTTTTACCTAACTCAATTATCCTAGGACGTCCTTTCTTCGTTTCCTCACAACATATTTTGATGAAGTGTGTCTGTATCAGCTCGACTACGAGTAATTGAGTGGGTAGTCAATCCATTGATTGGTCTATAGTAAATTAATGAATATTTTCACTATGATTCTCTTGTACTAAATCTTGTACTAAATATTTGAGTTGTTCTTATGAATTAACTCATACATATTTGATTATTTGACTTATTTGGCCTTCCCTTTTCATGCTTCTCTTCAATAATACCTTCCAATATGATTCTATACAGAGTTCTTTGTTGTATCTTAGCGTATGACATATCATGTTTAGAAAAAATGTCTGCTTCTGTACTAAATCTATCACTTCTTTGTTTGTCTTCATTTTCGTTATTTGACTTGTCCTATTTTCCTTTTTCGATAAGTCAAACAGCTATTCAAATTTGGTGATATCATGACGATGATATCATAAAAGAGCTGACTGATTTCGTATATATCTATTTTATTTGACCTAAAGTTCTCCTATACAGGAAAAGTTGATAGTAATAATTTTTATGTACTTATTTTTCAGATTCGAATAAAGGATATTTTGAACGAATGTTCTTTCATATTAGTAAGCAAATTAACATTTAAATATTTATCATTTTTTCATATACGTGACCTTTAACATTACTTTTAAGTGAAATCCTAATCTCTTTATTGTTATTAAAACGGGCTAAGCCCAATATATGTTTTAAATATGAGTGATAAAAAGGTGAGATTAATATATTACATAATTATAATAAAAAAAAATAGAATAACAAGTAATTCATAAGGAAAACAGTAGAAAAATAATAATATACTATAAATTAATGAGTATAATAAAAACACAAAGGTAGTTACTGACAATAACTAACTAAATAATTACAGAAAGACTCAATAAAATTGAAATTAAAAAAATCAGATTGAGCATCATTGGCTAATCTAGTGGATCTATTTAAAGGAGCATTTATGATATAGTTATATCGGAGCAAGTGATTGCGAAAAGTATAATTAGACCTAGTTAGTTGTTGAGGGACATAAAAATGTATAAAACTAAGCAATTCTGGACAATATATGAAACCATCTATCAATCTAAATAGGCATTTCAAATCAAGTATGTTTCTGCGGATCACAAGGCTGCTCATATTTAATGTGTTTAATAACAGCTGATATAATGAATGCGGTTGCCATTTATAGGATATAAAACGGAGGAAGCGATTTTGTATTGCTTCGAGACACAGTATATGAATATTTTTAGGAGACCAGATAATAGAATTATATTACATTGAATAATATATTACATTCGAGAGTGGAGAGTACTAAGAAAAAATATATTGTTTTTAATAGTAATGGGATATGTAAAAACCTTATATGTTCTAGTAATAAATCCAAAAATGGATGATGTTTTTTTTGAGATATTTAAATAATTCCAATTAAAAAATAAAGTTGTGTCAAATGTAACACATAAAAGATATAAAAAAAAAGATATTACTTTACATTTATCAATGTTTTAGAATAAATTGTTTTGTTATACCAGATTGATAGGGTATTTTAGCCATCGTACAAGAAAACAGAATCAGAGAAGGATTTTACTAACTGAAATAATTTCATATCATCAGCGAATAGAAGTTTAAGAGAGTTTAGAAAATTTTTTACTCTGACTATTTGCTTTTTATTTCGATATAAGAAATCGACTAAGATAAAAACGATCACGGAAACCAATAGAATAAAGGCTTTTAGAGAGGAGATGTGATTAATTTTATCGAAATCCTTTGAAAAATCAGTATAGATATCATCTACTTGATACTCTAAATCAAAAGCGTCCGACATAAATTTCTGAAATATCACTAGATTAGTAGTTGTAGATTTAGCCCTTAAAAATCCGTGTTGATCATTATTAACTATTGGGGAAAGTATAGCATACATTTTTTTATAAACAATTGATTCAAATATCTTAGATATTATAGAGATCTAGGAAATAAGTCAATAATTTATAATCTCGGATTTATGAATCCTTTTTTTGATAGGTGTTACAAAGTTATAAAACTGATTTTCAAATCACAAGGAAAACAACCTGTGAGAAGGGATAAATTAAGAAAAATACATTAAAGAAGAGGCTAAAACAAATTTGCAATTAGTGAAGAAAATACTAGATATTATATCAGGACAAGGATTAGTTTTGTTAGTAGTCAAATCAAATTCGTTTAGAACTTCAGTAATACTGAACAGGCATAATTGTAAGT